GTATACGGGGTTACCGGAATATTTTTCGTCCTGTAACGCTTCTTTTTTAATTTTACCACCGGAGGGAGTTGAAATATAAATTTTGAAATTTGAAAATAGAAAAGAGTTTTTTGTAGAGGTAAACATATATATTGTTAAATATAATTTTTTCTCTGATAGAGCTATGAAACCATGGCCTGTAATCTAGTAGAACAAGCATTACCCCTAGTACACTCTAGTATGCCGGTCCATTAGCGCCTGATCCAATCAGGGTTCAGTCATGTGTTTGGTGTCTATTCTGAACCAAAAGAAATAGTATTGCGGTTACATCTACCATTCTATCTATCTCATTATCTAGTTAGAGTTATGAATCCTTTAATCGGTACTATCAGTAAATGAAAACATTTACTTCTACTGAAACTATAGTGCCTTGCTGCCTTGTTTCAATTAAAGAAAGTTACATCATGGACCCTGACATCTTGTAAGTGTAATTTCTGGGATGAGACCTATACTGGGTTTCATGACAATTTTAAATTTTTAAATTTCGAGCTCTAACTAGCGCTGACTTTGTTTACATTTCTTCAAAAAAATTGAAAAACACTGTTTTTAAATAAAGATATAGGTCACGCACCCCTGACCTTCTAGTAAAAGTAAATTCAACCTAAAGTCTAACCGCGTCAACCTTGTTGCTCTGGCTAGTCCTAATGACTGTTTGCTTTATTTACCCAAGGTCCGGGTAATACAGTTCAAACTGGGACTAAAAAGGTTGACCCGGCTCGGAAATTCAAATGTACTATGGCTGACCAAGAGGTGTTCCTGCAATGCAAGAAATATAAGAAAAACTAACTCCATACTTTGTTTAAAAATAAATTGTATTTTATGGGAAAAATATAAACAAGACTAGGTCTGAGTTTATTTACATTTGTCCCAGAAACTGCAGTACACTGCAGTAAAGAAAGATAAAGTGGTTCCTGCTGTATCTTCATTGTTTCAATTTATCCAATTAAATCCTAACCTATGTTTCAATAATCCATTAATAAAGGTATATTATTACTATTATTAGCCCTCATAATTTATCCGATTATATACTCCTTAGCCCTGAACAATAAATAGGTTTGACCCCCCCCCCCTCACCACCAAAAAATATCGAAATCATGAAATCGATATTTAAAGGACTCCAATGTTTACCTTTATAAAACTTCCTATAATGAGCTGTTGTTTTTTGTAATTTTCCCACCTACGTCCTATACATTATAATTTTAGCGAGAAATCGTCATTGTTAAGAAAGAACCATCGGAGACCCATTTTCACTATAGATCCTAATTTACTCCAGAAGAGACCCATCAAAAAGTGATTTTTTTCTAGACTTATTCGATGTATATTTATATTATTTATATTCTTTTTCCTTCCTTATCAATATGTTTATAAAAGGGCCCCTCAATCAAACAACAAGCGATGGTTAGAGTGATCCTGGCGATAAGAAAGAGAAAAATATTTTAACATTCATGTTTTAATGGTTTAGCCAAAATATATATATTAATCTATCTATCTATCTATTATATCAATGTTGAATAGTGGAACTAAAAAATATCTGAACTTTTTCTTTAAAGATTTCCATAAACTCTACAATTCTTTTCACTTCCGAGCTGGGAACTTTTAAATGGTGGATATCGGGATTAATGTTTGATCCACTATTTTTCTTAATCTCGAGATTAAATAATGATTGTTATCCTCTTGCTATTAATCTCCAGAGCTGGGAACTTTAGAATGGATAAACTTTAATCCTGACTTCTTGATCCGAATATCCACTGTGGAAACTTTTAATTTTAGTCCTTAATCCACTCTTTTTCTCTCTCCTTGGATATCCGTTAATTGTTTTCTCCAATGAGAATATTTCTGTTCTCTCATTGGTTGCCCGCTTTTCTCTGATTGGCTGCTACAGTTTCTCAGATGATTAAATATTAATTTTAATTTTATCGTTTTTCATACACTTTTAAGATAATCTTGCAAGATTATGTTAATCTTGAGATTATCAAAAAGAGAGGATCAAGCATTAATCCCGATATCCACCATTCTAAAGTTTTCAGCTCAGATTAATTAACCGATCGGGATTAAGTATATTCCATTCTAAAGTTTTTATCTAGGGTCCTACAATTTACAAAACAATTTTGGAGCTACTTGCCTCAGCTAAAGCGTTTCTAGCATGCACCTCTGACCCTTTAGTAAAAGTAAATTTAGCCTAAAGTCTGACTGCGTCAACCTTGTTGAACCGGTTAGTCCTATTGAGTGTCTGCTTTATTCACCCGATGTCCGGGCGATACAGTACAAACTGGCACCGGAAAGGTTGACACTGCTCGGAAATTCAAGTGCTGGACGATGACCTAAATTGCATTTTAATTTTGCACAAAATGAGGGCCTATATACATTAATAAAGTATAAAACTGTAACTTTTTTAAAACTTTTCTTAGGAACAATTTAGGAAACGTATTTCTTGTTGTATAATGACTGTGTAATGGAGTCCTTGACCTCTACTAGAATTGGAGACTCCTCTATTCCCTGGAGCAACCTCCATCCTGACCAAAGAATATATTCTAAAAGACTAAGAAATAAAAGAAGTTGTATATTATAACTTTTAAAATTTCTAAAATGTAAAATATTCCAAAAAATTATCTTTTTGTTTCTAGCACGTAAAATAATAATTAGAAGAAAAAATTAAATCATACTTTTTATTTGTTTAGATTATATTAAATATATGTGATGGACGTCTTGTATGAGAAAGTCTTTGTTTCTGCCAAAATAGTTTGCTTTATTAATTATCCTTAAATATGCTCGACAAGGGGTTAACTCGGGGGGGGGGGGGATATGGCGAGAAGGAAGGGTAGGGTTAATTATTTCTTTGAACGTTAAATATTTTTTACCCCCACCCCCTCAGACTCATATTGTCTTCTTTTACTCTAGAAAAAAGTAATCATACTTAATAATATACACAAACTTTTTATAATCCAAGTTAAACTTCAAGTTGGTTACCTAGTATTTCAGAATTATATCTTTACTAGCTGAAGTAGCCGGTGTTGCCCGTGGAATTTAAAAAACACTTGAAAAAAAACCGAATTTAAAAGAATTTTGTTTACCGTCGCCCCGGGCACCCATGGGTTCTTTAGAAAAATTCAGCGAATTTTGTCCAGCTGATTGGCCAGCAATATCTAACATATATATATATATATGAACGAAGAGCTTTTTATCATAGATAAAAAAATATCTTTAGACAAATATTTTTTTTTGTAATAAGAAGGGGCGCCAAATGTAAATAAAAACTCTTCCCCGGCCCTATTAACGTCTATGTTTCATAATTGAAGAAAAATCTATTTATATAGAAATAACCCCTAGACAGTGTTGTTGCTTAGAACTAAATGAAACATTTTATACAGATCATTCTCTTTAATTAGAACACGAAGAACGAGGTTTGGCGTTGGGCCGGGGGAAGGGGTGAAAGGGAAGGGGGGTTTGGGAGAAATATTATAGAGAATTTTTCTGTTTCTCTTCAATAAAGTTTAACATTTTTACTGTTTCCTATTTTCCCTTTCTTGGTATCTATAATTATGTCCTTGTACCATTTCATGCTCCACTTTCTGTTCCCTTTTCTTCCCCCCTTTCTCTTCCATTTCTGTTCTTTCTCGTTTAATCATTCCGTTCCTGATTTTACGTATGTTCCTGATTCTACGTATGTTCCTAATTCTACGTATGTTTCTGATACTACGTATGTTTCTGATACTACGTATGTTCCTGATTCTACTTATGTTCCTGATTCTACGTATGTTCCTGATTCTACTTATGTTCCTGATTCTACGTATGTTCCTGATTCTAATTATGTTCCTGATTCTACGTATGTTCCTGATTCTACTTATGTTCCTGATTCTACGTATGTTCCTGATTCTGTGTATGTTCCTGGTTCTACGTATGTTCCTGATTCTACGTAAGTTCCTGATTCTACGTATGTTCCTTATTCTACGTATGTTCCTGATTATATGTATGTTCCTGATTCTACGTATGTTCCTGATTCTACAAATGTTTCTGATTCTACATATGTTCCTGACTCTACGTATGTTCCTTTTTCTACGTATGTTACTGATTCTACGGATGTTCCTAATTCTATGAATGTTTCTGATTCTACGTATGTTCCTGATTCTACGTATGTTCCTGATTCTACGGATGTTCCTAATTCTATGAATGTTTCTGATTCTACGTATGTTCCTGATTCTACGTATGTTCCTGATTCTACGGATGTTCCTAATTCTATGAATGTTTCTGATTCTACGTATGTTCCTGATTCTACGTATGTTCCTGATTCTACGGATGTTCCTAATTCTATGAATGTTTCTGATTCTACGTATGTTCCTGATTCTACGTATGTTCCTGATTCTACGGATGTTCCTAATTCTATGAATGTTTCTGATTCTANCCCCCCCCCCCCTCTCCTCTCCCTTCAACAGTTAGATAAACCTGGTGATTATTACCTAAATACAGAATCTCTAGTTAATTACGTTAAAAGTATTTAAACAATTTTAATCCTAGTTCTCCACTCACACTAGTATATACTGATACCAGGTGGGGACCACCCATCCTCCCCCCCATCCAACCCAGATAGCTAAACAAAACCATGTTCATTTACCAGATGTGCCATGATTTCTTTACAAAATCGACCTCTCCCCCCCTTCATAGACCAATATGAAGTATTTTTTTGATATTTCATTACTTTTGTTTGTTATCCCCTATACCACATTTGTCTGTTTTAATAACAGCAATGTGATCTAGTTTGTGGTAAAAAATTGTGGTTATTTTTTCAGATTCCAATTATATCCACTATGCTTCAAAATCGGATATACCCCCTCGTTCCCCTAGGTATCAACCATGTGAAACGCCAATGCATCTTGATCCCCTGGTGTACCACTGTGGTCCATGACCCCTCCAGTGCTGTGCTCCTCTGCCTACGGACCGGAAAATGAAGTCTGATCACCGGCAGTGGTTTTCAGACGAGGCCTAGTTGTATAGAATCAACGAGAGTATTCTGGTTCCGGGCCGGACCGCATTTTGCCGCCGGCTCGCAGTGTAATGGTCATGTTAGGTTTGTCAAACATTTGTATTACATCCCTAGGATAATTGGGACTTATGTTTTTAATGTGCAGCGCTACAAAAACATCAGTATTTCCCAGTGAAGCAGAAACAGTGAACATCTAGTGATAACAATAACAAATCCTAACGTACTGCCGGAACCGGAACCAAGTGTACTGCAATAACCGGAAGTGATAATGTAGTGAAGAATTAACTCTGCGGAATGGATGGAGGGAATCGAATGGATTAGTCTCGGGGATTATGGATTATGAACCTTTTCCAGGATTAAAGTAATCCTTCAAGCTTCCGGACAATATGGCTTATTCTTTCGGGTATAGCGGCAACTACACTCCGAGCCAGGTAGATATTGACCAGCGGGTCTACCTGTAGCGCGCCGACCTGCCTCTTCTAACTGCATTCGTTTTTTATAGATCAACAAAATCGTTCATCAGCTCATTTCTTTCAGATTTTATAGAATATGTACATTTATGCAATTATGAATCTTAAAATTTCTATTTTCTACCTGTCTACCCATCTTTATGTCTTCCTGTCAACTTGTCTAATTTTTTTCCTGTCACCCTTTCTACCTGTTAACCTGTCCTACCTGTCTACCTATCAAGGTTTCTACCTGTCAACCTTTCTACCTGTCAACCTGTCCTACCTGTAAACCTTTCTACCTTTCAACCTTTCTACCTGTCAACCTGTCCTACCTGTAAACCTTTCTACCTATCAATCTATCCTACCGGTCAACCTTTCTACCTTTCAACATTTATACCTGTCAACCTGTCCTACCCGTAAATCTTTCTACTTGTCAACCTGTCCTACCTGTAAACCTTTCTACCTGTCAACCATTCTACCCGTCAACCTTTCTACCAGTCAACCTGTCCTACCTGTAAACCTTTCTACCTGTCAAACATTCTACCAGTCAACCTTTCTACCAGTCAACCTGTCCTACCTGTGAACCTTTCTACCTGCCAACCTGTCCTATCTGTAAACCTTTCTACTTTTCAACCTGTTCTACCTGTCAACATTTATACCTGTCAACCATTCTACAAGTCAACCTTTCTATCAGTCAGCCTGTCCTGCCTGTAAACCTTTATACCTGTCAACCTTTCTACCTGTCAACCTTTCTACCTGTCAACCTTTCTACCTGTCAACCTTTCTACCTGTCAACCTTTCAACCTGTCAACCTTTCTACCTGTCAACCTTTCTACCTGTCAACCTTTCTACCTGTTAACCTTTATACCTGCCAACCTTTCTACCTGTCAACCTTTCTACCTGTCAACCTTTTTACCTGTCAACCTTTCTACCTGTCAACCTGTCCTACCTGTAAACCTTTTTACCTGTCAACCGGTCCTACCTGTCAACCTTTCTACCTGTCAATCGGTCCTACCTGTCAACCTTTCCTACCTCTCAACCTTTCTATCTGTCAACCTGTCCTACCTGTAAACCTTTTTACCTGTCAACCGGTCCTACCTGTCAACCTGTCAACCGGTCCTACCTGTAAACCTTTCTACCTGTCAACCGGTCCTACCTGTAAACCTTTCTGCCTGTCAACCGGTCCAACCTGTAAACTTTTCTTCCTGTCAACCTGACTCACCTATTAACCTTTCTACATTGCTGCACACTTAAACTAGAGGTCCTAATTAGAATTCAGTGATTCTTAACCTTAGAACCCATTTTTACCGATTTAATGTAGATTTCTCTTATTTGCTCTGCGCTCCTTTGTATTTTAGATTTTAAAGTATTAGGTCTATTACGCTTTTATTGATGGTTTTCATAAAAATATGACATGATGACAGATAACATGCACTTCGCTGTAGATAATTTTATTCTTTACTATTTCTAATTGTTTAACTCTGTAAACCTCTGGCTTGTTTCCCTTTTATCTCTCTCTAATCGCCTAATCAAGAAATTTAGGAAATTATGAGAAATTCGTTCAAAGCTGGGTAACCAGGCGGAAAAAAACTATTTGAAGCATCCCAATATCACCAAATATTTAGTTCAAATTAAAAGACATAGATAATATTTTGTAAGTTTCTGTTTATTGTGGATATAGGTTTTTTTTAATGTAGATTGACGTTTTTTTATGTGGATAGACGTTTTTTTAATGCAGATAGACGTTTTTTAATGTAGATTGACGTTTTTTATGTAGATAGACGTTTTTTAATGTGGATAGACGTTTTTTTAATGTGGATGTACGTTTTTAAAAATTTAGATATACGTTTTTTAACTTTAGATAGACGTTTTTAATGTAGATAAACGTTTTAAATTCTCTTAGTTCAGAGTCTTGATTGGTGATTAGTGAGGTTTTTTAAGCTTTAACTACTTTTTAATAGAACACCCCAGAGTCCAGCAAGTTCAGTTCTCAAAATAATGTATGGATTGATAGGAGAAAAATAAATATTATTTAAAGGGAATGTTCACGTAATTCTACATGACCTCCAAATTGCCAGATTCCAGACGATACCCTAAACATCTTTATCTGAGCAACGATGAGGAAGATTTCGTCGTTTTCAATCTTTAAAAATGTAGAATTCTGTTAATTTAAATCATTGGCATATCTTCTGCAGAATTTAGCAAATCACATTTATATAAAAAAATATAAATTTTCAGATAGAAAATGAAGAATATCAGGTGAAGGTTAAAGAATAATGGATACTGTAGTAGTCAAAAAGAATACTTTAATTTTAAATAACGTTGGAAGTCAGCAGCTTAAAAACTTAAAAACTATTTTGAACCAGAAAACAATGTATCTTTTTCCCAAGAAAAACAAATTTAAAAAAATGTAATACAATTTTTAATGATAGTTAAGAAATAAGATGAACAAACAGGGGATGGAGGTGGTGGGGGGGGGGGGTTAGTTCGAAAATTTCATGATCAACTTTGAAACTGGAAAGTGATAAATGGTTGACCCTGCTTAAATGTGGAACAAGGTATACAGATAAAGATAATACAACACACTGCGGAAACATTCAAAATATTTAATTTCAAGATTTTTAGTGGTGCAACCCCCACCCCCTTAGAGCTCCAAATTAAACAAATAAAAAATGTATACCTAGCTTATAGCATTAGAAACAATTAGAATTAATTTTGGATAAACTGTCTTAGATTTAAAGTATTCCGCAACGTGTTTCTTATCTTCTATGGTACTGGGGTACAATGTCGCCTAAACCATTAGCCCCATCTACCCTAGCCCTATCCTAGATCTAGCACTATTCATTATCTTAGACTGCAGGACCTGTAGCTTAGATACAATTTTCACAATTCTGTATTCTGTATCTTGTGATTTGTATATTGTATTCTTTATCTTGTATTCTGTATCTTGTGATTTGTATATTGTATTCTTTATCTTGTATTCTGTATTATGTATTTTGTACATAATATTCTTTATTATTCTGTTTTCTGGCTGATGTCTTCTGTATTCTATTTTTTGCTTTCTGTTTTCTGTTTTCTGTTTTTGTATTTAGTATTTTGTATTTTGTATTTTGTATTTTGTATTTTGTATTTTGTATTTTGCATTTTGTATTTTGTATTTTGTATTTTGTATTTTGTATTTTGTATTTTGTATTTTGTATTTTGTATTTTGTATTTTGTATTTTGTATTTTGTATTTTGTATTCCATATTCTGTATTCCGTATTCTGTATTCTGTATTCTGTATTCTGTATTCCGTACTCTGTATTCCGTATTCTGTATTCTGTATTCTGTTTTCTGTATTCTGTATTCTGTATTCCGTATTCTGTATTCCGTATTCTACACAGTTTAATCTGTGTTCTGAATTCTGAATTATTTAATTCTGTTATTGCTTGAAAACCAAGCTTTTCCTGGAATCCAACCAACCAACCAACCAACCAACCAACTCAAATTAACTTTTTTAAAATTTCTTGGTTCTACCGAGTTCCCCAATCAAGAGTTCAATGTGATTTAAAGGTCTCAACCTCTCAGGCAAAAATCGATGAGAACTTTGCCAATTACTTCTTTAAAAACCAAAGCTAATCACAAGGGCTTTATGTAAAGGGCTACAGAAAAGTATAATTGAGTTAGAGCCGTAAAATCAAAACCCAAGGCAAGGCACTTCAAAGTCAACCCTGTCTTAAAAATTGATGAGACTTTTTATAAGCAGGCTGAATCTATGTGAGTTGTGGCAAATCGGTCAAAGATCATTATTTATGATCGGACATACAAACAGGCAAACAGAGATTACTACTTAATATATAGATTTTGTATTGTGTATTCTATTTTTTATTTAGTTTAGCCTGTATCTTGAATCTATATGTGTTGTTTGTATTCTTCATTCTGTACTTTGTATTCTATAATCTGTATTTTGTATTCTGTATTCTGCCATCTTCTTTTGTACTATTCCATCTGTAATCTGACATATATATTCTGTATATTTACTATTTAGTATGAGAATTCCACTTATTATCTTTAATCTTTAAGAATATGTGCAATACACAAAACTTTACTCATGTATTTTAATCAAAATTATCTTTAAGAATATTACATTGTACGTTAAACATTATAAAATAAACATGAATATTGATCAAAATTATCTTTAGGAATGTGTACATTAAACAAAATACATATGTTGATCAAAATAATCGTCATTCTTTTTAATATTTGTTTTCTAATCTGTACCTAGGGTTGAGAATGTAAATAAACAATTATTCGGTTTCTTTTCTCTTGTCTTCTTGTCATATCTTCAGCAAACAGTCAAATTCTGGAGAACAACAGGGATCTATATTTTTCGCAAATATGTCCTTTGAAATATCGATTTTTAAATTATATTATGGATTTTTTAGTTATTTTTTTATTAGTTGACAGTTAACCCTGCTTTTGTTATTTTGCTCTTTGCCCTGGACTTTGATTTTTACAAAGACATTTGCCTGTTTTGATAACATTCATTAAAAAATTTACGTCTTTAATCATATTTTTCTTAGAAAATTATTGAATGTACTATACCAGATTGAAGATATGTTCTATTATACTTTACAATTCGCAAAGTTTGAAGATGTTATAAACATGGACATTTTTCGTACAGGACTTGATCATAAAGTAAGAATTTATTTTGCCAAGTTTTGAGCAATGTGTATTTTTTAATCAGTTAAATTATGATAAAGAAAAAAAAAACATTTTTTGCTAAACGACATACAAATTTTGTAACCTGATGTCGTAGACCTTTGATATTTTGACTACGAATTGTTTTAGTTCAAACAGTCCAAGTTTATAGTATTAAAGGTTTACACAATCAGGTTGCAGAAATATGGGATTACAAGGTTTAACTTTGTGACAAAAACTCAGGTCCTTTGAGTATTTGAAAAGTACATTGGCATTAAACTATAAAAACCTTGCGCAACTA